TCTGACTGGATGATCTGATGAACTGTAAAGTGCCTTTAGATGACATGTGTTGTGAATTGGCGCTATAGAAATAAAATGAATAGACCAATAATCACAGCCACTCGGTTTAAACACTATTAATGCAGAGTTAATTAATAATTAGATTCATTGCAAACATCAGTTAGCCAAATCACTAGCGAGAGGAATAACACTGTATGGCCTGCAGTGATAACTGTGTAGCAACAGCTAAAAACACCAAAGCAACAACCACGCTGTCTTTACCCATAAAATAAGGGTTTACACGAGAAAAAAACAAAATAACCAGCATTTAAAAATATAATAATTCATAATAATGAATGTTTTACCTGTATGAAAGGAAATTGTTGTATACTCGACGGGAGTAAAGAAGATAATACCGCCTCCAAAGATAAAATAAAAAAAGGAAAGCCGCCGGCGCACATTAATGACGTCACAGTGACCGCTTGACGTCAACAAACATGGAGGAGTATGCCCGCGAGCCTTGGTAAGATTAGTTATTAGTAGGCTAAATATTACTCTTTAGCTGTTTAAAAAAAAACTAGATAGCAGAGCTTTTTGCAGCATATTTATTCTGTTAGCTGGAATGAACCGATAGAGTTTGTGTTTCTAGAGCGGCTGGTATTATTGTAGACTTTCTGATAATAGATAAGCAGCTGGTGTCCATCGGTAACAACTCAGTAAAATGTTTAACAACATCCCGTTGATCTTAAATTTGAGTCGAAGAGGGCTTCGTGTCAATATGTCTCCACTGTATGGTGTTCAAATGTAATATTTTTGTGATTCAGATACATGAATAGGAAAAAAACAAAACAAAAACAAATACACATTTATTTATTTTTTGGAGCCAGGTTATCGAATGTATTAAAAAAAAGGAGGAAACAGGCACTAGCTCCAGAGGGATGTTTGTAGGTTATTGGTTTGGAGAAGCAAAAAATAAATCCGCAATGACTTTGAAGAAAGGAACTGTTTTCTAACTATTAATTTGGGCAAAGATTAATATGGTTTATTTTTTAGCATTTAAGTTGATTCACCTCAAGTTCAGAGCTCACAAAATGTAGAGAAACTAGAAAAAAATTACATGTAAAGAGACTAATGAGGTAGACAGATAATTAATCATGAGTCGTTGCTTCTGAATGTTATTAAATCTTTAATTCTGATGGATGGTTTAATGGAAATTAATTTTTTTTTTCTTTGACTGTTAATAGTTTCCCAAACTAGAAATTGCCTATTCTCCATTAAAACCATTAAAATGTTTTAAAATGGGGTTAATCTTCACAATAACTATGTAACATTTATAGAAAATATTTTATTAGACTGATTCAGGACTGGGCTGCAGTGGGTAGCTCTGGTTCCGGGTTTAATTTACCAGCCCGGGTTCTTTCTGCTTTGTTTTTGCATGTTGTCTCTGAGCATGCGTGGGTTCTCTCCGGGTACTCCGGCTTCCTCCCACAGTCCAAACACATGACTGTTAGGTTAAATTGGCCTCTCTAAATTCTCCTTAGGTGTGACTGTGTGTGTGAATTGCCCTGTTTGTCTCTTGTGTTGCCCCTCGATGGACTGGCGTCCTGTTCAGGATGTACCCCGTCTCTCGCCAATAGACAGCTGGAGATAGGAACCAGCACACCTCATGACCCCAGCTGGGATAACGGTGTTAGAAAATGGATGGATGATTCAGGACTGAACATTGATGGGATGTAATAAAAAAGCAGGAACGGATCCTTGGAAATAAATCTGCCTTTATTGCACATTCATCCAAAATATGTACTGTACATGAGTATGTATATATTAAATCCTTAGATCTTTCCAGTTGTTGATTTAAAGGCATTTGTATTTTTTACAACTTCTCAGATTATTAATTTTCCATTATAAGCAGTGTCTTGTTATGCATCCTCATCTTCTGCTTTCTCTCTGCAGCCCCTGGAGGATAGTGGATGACTGTGGAGGAGCTTTCACCATGGGGGCCATCGGAGGAGGGGTTTTCCAGGCAGTGAAAGGTTTTCGAAACGCCCCGGCTGTAAGTTGGAAGAATGTGATTGTTTGCTTTCTGACTCATTATTTTAGGTGATCCTCAACTGCTCTGTAATACTCCAGGGGGTTGGACACAGACTGAGAGGAAGTGCAAACGCGGTGAGAGTTAGAGCTCCTCAAATCGGAGGTAAGGGAGGCTGGTTTTCTTCATTAATTTCCTGAAGTCTGTATTCATGGTCATCATTTTCGTTGCATATTTTAAGCAATTTTTATGTTGAATATTTATTTAGATATAGCTTCATTCATTCTTACATCTTAAAACCTTCCCTTTTTTTCATCACACTGCATAAACAAACATGACCTTCACTGCTTTGTATTTCCAGGTAGTTTTGCTGTCTGGGGAGGCCTCTTCTCCACCATCGACTGTGGTTTAGTTCGTCTGAGAGGGAAGGAGGATCCATGGAACTCAATAACAAGTGGCGCCCTCACCGGGGCCATCCTAGCAGCACGCAGTGAGAAAAAAAACACCAACACCACCATCATCTGTTAATGAGCGATATAATAGATCTAACTAAGGATTGCTGTGTTTTTCTTGAGGTGGTCCGATAACCATGATGGGCTCCGCGATGATGGGGGGAATCCTGCTCGCTCTCATTGAGGGTTTTGGTATTCTCCTGACTAGATACACAGCACAACAGTTCCAGAACCGTAAGTGAAGCATAGTCACGGATAAAAGTGTAATTTTATCAAGTTAACAAAACTTCAAAATGACTGATGTGAGAATTTAGGTCTCCTGTCTTTGACTTTCTAAAAATTAGATGTAAAAAAAAACACCTTTGAGCTGAAAAATATTTAGTTTTTAACCAGAAATTGTTAATTAAAAAATGAGATGGAAGATGGAATACAAAGACCCCCTTTATTTATTAATATTTCTTGGCAACCTAGAAAAGTTTGAAAAATTGCACATTTTTTAAAGCATTATCCAGGTCTGGATAACTATTTTAAATATCTTTGATTTAAACATGTGTTTCAAAACCCATTGACTCCTGAATACCTTTTTTTTTTTAATTGTGTGGTGACATCAGCCTTATTCTATGCGGTGGTTTATGGGAGCAGCAGCTTATCTAAAGCTGAGAGGAAGCAGTTTGATAAGCTCCTCAGGAAGGCCGACTCTGTCCCAGGATGCCCCCGGGAAGTTAATGCAGAATTAGAATTAATATTAATTGCCCCTTACAAAGCAAAGCGTTTGACTCGGTGAAGCCAGTAAATTTTAATAGAATAAAGGGAGACAAATGGATGAATCCCAAAAAAACTAAGGCTACGTTCAAACAGCAGCCTGAAGTGACCCAAATCTGATTTTTTTTCTTTTGCCCACATACAACCTGTATCTGATCTTTTCATGGCAGTCTGAACAACAAAAATCTGATTTTTACACTGCGACCTGGGTCACTTGGCCATGTGGTCCTGAATCCAATACGAATCAGATTTTTTAAAATGCGACCTGTGTCTGAACGGTCAGGTCTCATTCATCCGACCTGAACGCCATTAATACTCAACAAAAGTCTCTATTCTGCATCTTGCTACACAGAAGCAGCAGGAAAAACAACAGCCATGGATAACGATGATGTGGAGAGCAGTCTTTATTTTCAGCCATCTTAAAGGAATAGTACACCCAAAACATGATTAGCCTTCATTTTCTACTCACCCCCATGCTGAACAACACT